GAAAGAAAGAAAGAAACATATTACTCACACAGATGTCAGCCGCCCACAGTGAAGGAAAACAATAGCTAGTTACTGTCACAGATGACACCTATATACAGCGAGTCCCGGAGTCTAGGGGAGAGAACAGGTGAGGTAGCGTGGTGAAATCAGGCGCTCGTCAAAATAATCAGAGTGAAGAAACTGGCATTCTCCCGCATACCCCCCGAGGCAGTGCCACTGACTGTAGTGTATTTAGGCCATTCCCAAAGGGGGGACATTTCTTGTTCAAGCACAGTAGAATTGTAGATGGGCTGATTCATGTCACGCTTATAACTGTGCCTGATCTACAACAGGGAACTGCTTCTTTTTCTTTCTTGATCCTTACTATTGTTTTTTTCCTCTACTTCCTTTGTATGTTTGTCACTCTCTTGTGACCCGCTATTTCCGGGGTGCCTTGATAGTTGAAACAGACTTTGTGCTGTTGAAGCTAGAGAGGTGAGCAGTCTAAGTCTGATTCCCTGTAAAGACTTCTCTGTTGACACCGACCCCTTGGCGCTCATATGACCTTATGCAGTTGCGAGCGACGTAAAACCCTCTACTATTTTTACTTTTTTTTATCTCCCGCAGGTTTGTGGATTTTTACCGAATTTTCGTTGTTTGGCCCAGCAATTTTTATATTCACAGATTTTTGTTACTGATAACATTGCTTAAAAGAACAAAAAGTATCAGTTTTCAGTTTCCAAGGACTCTCAAGCTATGGTAATTACCAATCTGTGGTAGCCAATTTCTCGCTTATTTCACCTCTGAGACCAGGCGACCCTGACCTCCTTCAATCGTAAATAATTTGACGTCTATTCAACATAGATGGATATATTCTTCACCAAAAGCAAGGCAAATAAACAGGCTATAAGATGGTACCAATAGCCCCATGTGCCCAAAAATTGACGAGCGCCTGATTCCACCACGTCGCGACACCAGATGATTGACGTTGGAAGCAAAAACGGTTTCCATTAACGGTACGAACGGAGTACGAAAAAGATTTTTTTTTTTTATTTCTCGTTGGTTTTTGTTGTTGATGCTGTTGTTTGGGGGTTTCGGTTCGTGTGTTGTTGTTTTATGATTTATATAATTATTACAATACATCCCAATTAGTATCCGCAGCTGTAACCAGTAACAGTAATGGCTTCCTGTTGATGATTGCTAAAATAATATATGTCTAGTAATTAAACACCCACCCTAGGCTCCCCCCCCTCCCCCAC